AGAAAAACAGCCGAACACAAGATATCAGTGTCCATCAACGCGAAGATTGTTGTTGTCGTCATTACATTAAAAACCGTTCCCATCTCTCGACCCAGTACCTGCATCTGTCTGCACTCATCTACTACCACTTTGACGCGTTCGATTGTGCAAGAGAAAAGTAGGAGCAGCGAGCAGCGAGCGCCAGGGCCCGCTGCAGACAGTTGAGCACGAAAACGGTTTTTTGCCGCCCGTCCGAAGAGATGCAGCTTGGGATAAACCCGTAAACAAACACAAAAAAACATTCCCGTCGTAACATCGTCATCATGTGGAGTTCACGGACGTCTTTTGTGGCGATAAATTAGCTTGAGAAAACACCACGGAGAAGCCGAAGCAAAGCGGAGAGCCCAGAGGCCCACATAGCACGACCGCAGGCGATATACGTTTCAGTCTGTCGAGTGTTGGAACTGCTTTATCGACCTGTTCGTCCAGAAATCTATATCACAAGTCCCACCATGTACTAGACCATTCCTCGCGCCAACGACGACGGACTACTGTCACGAAGCATTGCGCTGTCCGCCATAGGCCCGGCCTTACAGCTGGCCGATTCACCCGCCCAATAAAGGGGAGGGGGCGACGACGACTAGATCTTACAGATGCCGGCAAAAATCGAAGATCAAGAGCCGTTGTGATCTACCTCACGACCTGTCGCATGTGTGAGATTCAGATTCCACCCAAGGACAACTATTGCCTTGGACAGTGACGATGTAAATTGCACACAACCTCACGGGGTCCCAGGATCATGGCACTTGGAAGGATTCTCCTCAGCCGCACTGAGACTGACGTCTTTTAACTGGTTAGCCGGTTAGCGCGTTCGATGCTGACAACAGAAACACAACACACATTGCCTGTGTTCAACCGCACTACAGTGAAGACTGCCGTCTTTCGATCGTATCAGCCGGTTAGCGCGGTCGATTCTACTAAGAGAGAGACACACAAGGACCCCCCCACCAATACCTGCTCTCCGATGAGTTCTCCCGACTTGTATGCCACTAGGCCGTTCTGGGAGAAGCTGTAGTCGTAGTCCTGCATTACTGCTCCACCCCGCCCGCCCAAGAAAAAAAAAGAAAAAAAAAAAGGCAAGAGTACGAACAAAGAACGAACGAACAACAAGAAATTCCCAATGAGAGTTGTGGTTTAGCTTGGAAAGATGGCATTATCACAGCATCCTAAGGGAAAATACCAATTTTACAGTTAGGGGTACCAGCGAAACTTGATGCGCGCACGCTGACCAACACCGTTGAAGGAGGGGAAGGAGGGCTATCCTATTAACGGGTTGCGCTGATTCGCCTCGAAAAAGACAAGTTCAAGCAATGTCATGCATGTCATCAGGACATCACTACTGCTGTAGTAAATAGTCTGATTGTAGCCATGTGGCAGCTGACATGTAGCAGTTTGCTTATCCCGTGGATGAGTTTTGATGTTCTGAGGGGCACCAAGCCTCCGGGCAGGTACTTCCTCTTCCGTCCTCTGTCCCTGCATAGTATCAGCTCACTGACCGACCGGCTGACAAAGGGACAGGAGATTCCCGGAACAAAGAGATCATTCCTACTATAATTCTTCAAAACCCTCATTGGTCAACGGGCAGGCTTTCCTTCCGCCTGCTTCAAAGCACGCATTGCCTTGCCTGTAAGAGATGGCACTACAGTACTAGGATGACCACGCGCCCTTCAGGCGGGCGAGTGTCCCGCATTTCGGTGCCCTTGCAGCGGGGCAGAGTAGCTTCTTCCGAAAGCTTCTTGGACGAAGCAACCAAGCGGAATACCCGTGCTTGCTACACTTTTGCCTCGTAGATACTCCGGAGTAATCCGTTGTGATTTCTGAAACCCTCACCAGATACACATGACGGATCAGATCTCTACAGATCGAGCTATTTGAATAGCTCTTTCCAAGGGTATGCTATGCCTTGTGACTGGTATGACATTGGTGATGTGTGTATGTTTAGCCCCGGGGTGATCTGAAGGACGTCGGTGATGTGAGTATATTTGCTCAGTGGTGATCTGAAGGACTCACGTCATCTGAGTATATTACTCTCTGGTGATGTGAAAGTCTCGAGGGAAGTTAAGTACAGACTCATCATCCAAAATGTACATGGTTTGGTGCGAAAACCTTTATGTTTGCACGTACCTTTGTGGAATACAACATGTGTCGGGAACTACGAGGGGTTTTCAAAAATGGGAAAACTCAAGTCCCGCACGATTTCACCAGTCTGAAACTGCGCTCTGTAACTGGACCGCCTTGGCGCGATTGGTAAGTTTACGAGGAAACAAGAAAGGGAGGGGGTACGCAGACCCTATTTCCTTAACCCGAGGCCTAACTTCCCCGAGTGCATGCTTTGTCCGACATGTTTACTTTTTGATGGAAAAAAACTGCGAAGGGTACTGGGACAGGCTCCTGCCGCACTAACTGCTGCATGCATAGATGGGAAGGAGAGCAAGTGCATTCCCCGTACGTTCGTGGTCATCACAATCATCCCGTGGGGGGATGGACACCAATCAAATTGCAACTGCTGTACAAGAGACTGAGCAAATCTAACATGAAATTGCCTTGAGCGGAATTGAACCTGGAGCAGTTGGATTCGGTGGAAGCTTGGTAGTACTCATCCAATCGGTGGATGAATAGTGAAGTACCTACAGCTGCTGCGTAGCTCATCTACTATGATGTTGCACTACTGTGCGACTTTTGTACAGAAGTACGTACACAGCGGTTGGATTCTGGAATGGTTGTAGATACCATTCCACGGACGGTTTTGCTCTCGAAAACGGGCTGGCCGACACTCACTCATCTTCTGCTAGCATAGCACACAGGGAGGGAGAGAGCAACACGCATGCTATTTCGTTGGCATGGATCTGGACTTGCAATTGTTTATGTGCATCTACATTGCTGTCCTATGCATGTCCATGCGTCGATACTCGCATTACCTAGGCCCGTTTGATGGATCTCCCTCCAGTACACCGACGGTACTGCAATGAGAGTCTCTCTTTAGAAGGGTATTATTTCGAAAGAAAATCTACAAACGATTCTGATTTTCTCCCGAGTCATTCGTGTTTCCTCGTCCGACAAAAACAAAACGAGCTGAACTCGTAGTCCACACAGACCAGTCCATCACAGGAGTTACGTCGGGACAATCTAGAGGTAGGGCCCGATGGTGCATTGTTGCGACTGACTGCCGTACAGCACCGACAACGTAGCATAAGGTGTGCCAGAGGTTGTGAGAAAAGAGAGGTTGCATTCTATATCATATGGGAATCCACAAAGTACGCTAGAACATGAAAGAAAGCAAAGCAGCGCACCGGTCTCCCCGAGCTGTTCCTTTTGCTTGGGCAAGTCGGAGCCGCCTACGACGCCGATAGTGATCTCCTTGCGCAAGTTGGCCATGAACTCGACCATGTCGGGCAATACTTCCTGTTGGCGCCGGCGGTTGTGCGTTCGGCCACGATAATTGGGGGACGGACAAGCTCATCCGGTAACAACGGATTAGGCAAAGCATTTGAACGACCACGAGGCCGCAGCTCTCTGATCTGCAACGCACAAAATCGGTTGCCGAATGGGCCCAGCCGGTGCTGTTGCTACCTACCAGGGACATTCCAGCCGGAGAGACGCTGCCGCTTTTTTCTGCTGCCCCGCTCCAGTCGGCACTGATTTTTGTGCGGACACGGGAGAAGCAGAACATTTTTGTTGTTGCTTTTGTTCTTCGGGAGCGAGCATCGAGAGAGCCTTTGCACGGACACACACACCACACGCCACCGCCGTACACCCACCTTTCGTGCCGCCGTGAGGGTGCCGTCGACGTCGAAGAGGGCAATGATACGGGGGTTCTTGGCAGGCATGGTGACGGACGGAGACAGAAACAAAGAGGGCGAGAGGAGAGATTCAAGGCGTCGAATCAAACTGCATGTGTTATGTGTGCCGCGAGACCGGAGCGGGTTTGGTTGGGGGGGCACAACAGAGTGGAAAAAGGCGGGTACCGATCGATTTTAAAAATTGCACATGGCACTGCCTGGTCGCTATGTATGCTGATAGCCAGGCCCACAACAACGGCGAGACAGAGCCCAGGGCGGAGGGGGGAGTTGGAGAGAGAGGAGAGAGAAATAAAGAACGTGAAGGAGCACCATCCTGCAGCTGTCGGTGCAAGTCGATGCGGAAATGGAAGAGCTTGAGGAGACAAGCAGGCTCGTATTCCACGGGTAAGGATGACTTTGGTCATCAGAGAAAGCTTTTCCGTGCATTCAACACCGCCGCCGCAGCTCTTTCTGCTGAATGGGGTTGCGCTGTGTTCCACGCACAGCCCCGGCGTGTGCGTAGCGCGCAGAAGGGAGAGAGAAATCATGTGCGACGGGAGCACTAGTGGCGAAACGTTGCTCTGAGTTGCAATGTCTACTTGCTCGGTGGCATGAGGGGTGTACCGCATTCTGCTGCTGACTGCTTTGATCCAAGGCAAGGATTCTCACTCCAAGCCGCCGTTTCAAATACAGCACCGTCCGTAGGCCGTAGGTTGCATGATATGTCACACCCGCTGGAACGATTTTCAAAGCTCGATAGCTCGACAGGAAAAGCCGTGACGGCGCCGACAATGGCGGCGTTGGAACCGTCTCACGGGGAACTTTCCGAAAACATATGTTATCTCAATTGATTTCGGCATCCTCTTCGTCTTGGAGATTTGAAAATCGATCAGGGGGTGGGGTGTCACATGTTATACCACCCACGGTATGTACATCTATGCCGTAGTTCAACTTACTCTCCTGCTGTAGCAGCAGCCTTCGCATTGGCCGCGTCTTCCTATGTCGATGTAAAATGATAACACACACACACACAATGATGATGTGGGCAATGAGAAAGATCGTCCCTGGCAAGATGGCCGACAGCATGAGAATGCCAACAGTCAAAGAAGTACGCGCAGGCCCGACGAAGAGCGAGGAGGTAGATTTCTTCAAAGGGACAGCTCGGGCGCAGGTGCACCTACCCATGCGTGAAGGAGGACTAGGAATCACGAGCAATGTTCTCATTCGAGAATCGGCTTTTGTGGCAGGGCAAGCGCTGGTGTTCTCCAAGTCAGTGCAAGCATCGACAGGATACACAGCAGTTGAGCAATGTCTACCCCGGCTTGCCCAGCTACCAACAGGACTGGCTCTGATTGACTGGCTGAAGAAGCTAGAGGAGATCGTCACCAAAGACAAGCTTGAAAAAGCTGTTGGGCAGTCATGGGCTAAACTTGCCACAAGTGATGAGTTAACCCCCGACCTCAAAGGAGTTTACCTGTTGGAAGCAGGGAAGGCGGGAAAACCCCGCGAAGATGGAAACCCTGACGTAGAACATCAACAACCGTCTACCTACAGCCGACATGAATTTGGTCAACACTACCAAGTCTTTGGGGCCCAAGCTCTCCTTTCGAAACCTCTTCATGCAGCAGTGCGTCACATGGTGGAGACAGACTTGCAGAAAGTAGTAGGCGAGGAAACGCCAAAGAAGAGAGCGTTGATCCGCTTGGAGGAAGCGAAAGGCAAGGGAGTTTTGTCGTGGTTGACAACGCAAGGGTTGTCAGCAGATGAAAGAATGCTGCCTGATCTATATCGAGAGTCAATCGGTCGTGTACTGGGGAGTCACGATCGAGCAGACTGCAACACAGGCAAACTTTGTGGTGCAGGTGCATTGTTACCATGCAAGGACCGCTTGAGCCGAGCCCACTCCCTCGTCTGCACCAAGACCGGCGCCTCAACCTTCCTCCATAACAGGATGGTTCGAGT